ATATAGAGACTTATTGAGCTTGCAAACAGAATTATGTGGAGCTAACACTCCATCTGGAATTTTTATGTACACTTCCTCCTCTAAGTCTCCATTCAGGACATTCTTTACATCTAGTTGATGCAGCGACCAATCTAGGTTGGTAGCAACTGATAGGATCACTTTGATGGTGTTGAACTTTGCCACTGGTATGAAGGTTTCTTAATAATCAATCTCGTACGTTTGGGTGTATCTTTTTGCAACCAACGTAGCTTTGTACTTGTTTATGCTTCTATCTGCGTTGCATTTGGGAGTGAAAATCCACCTGCGCCTATTGGTTTCTTGCCTTTAAGGTAATAGAGTCCATCCCATTCTTTAGCAATGATCTCAATCCTTTTCCCCCGATGTCAAATCCTAAAAAGTACAACTAACAGCATCAAAAATAGCTCGACAATTGTGACTGTTAGTTAATTTGCTCACAAATATCAAATTACATTTGAGAGTAGGAATAAACAACATATTGTGTATTTCCAAATTATCAGATAATGCAACAGTTCCAATTCCCTCAACCTTTGTAAATAGTCCACTAGCCACTTTCACCCTAAGGTTTGCATGGCAATATTTAATGTTTGTGAATAAGAACTTGTTACCAGACATGTGATCGGTAGCTCCAGAATCAACAATCCAAGTGTCTTCACTAGAAACCATGGCATTGAGGGCTATAATAAAATTACCTGATTGTACCAAGTTGACATTAGGAACTGCTTTTGACTTATTTTGTTTTTCAACGATTCTATGTAGACTTTGTAGTTCTTCCTTGTTTAAGTGATCATCCTCTTCCATCTTGCAGAGGAGACTTGATGGCTTCTTCTATCTTGTCGTTGTTTTGGTTTTCCATTAGGTGGTTTTCCATGCAGCTTCTAACATTCATCCCTGGTATAACCTCTCTTGTAGTGGTTACATCATTTGTTGCCCTTCTTTTCATTCTGTTCTACCGTTGAAGGTCCTCTCACAGCTAGAGCTTATCCTTCTACTGTTGCCTAGAGTAAGTTGTCTCTGGTTCTCTTCAAATCTCATCATATTGAAGACTTCAAATAAGGAGGGTAGAGGTTTCAATGCCATGATTCTTCCTCTCACTTCTTCAAATGCATCGGTAAGTCCCAGTAAGAGCTCAATGGTTTGTTCCTTTTTCACTAGTTGTCTATGGTACTGAGCATCTTATACATTTTTCCGTGGGTGGACTTCAAAGAGATTAAGTTGCTGCCAAATCTGCATTAGATTACTATAGTATTGAGTCACAGTTAAGTTACCTTGCTTCAAATCTCTAAGCTGTTTTTTCTGTTGAATTAAAGCTGCGGTGTTGTCAAAGGTGTAATATGTGCACTTAGCTGCGTCCCATATCTCTTTGGGCAGTCCTGGTAAGGAGATATCGTTCACTAGTTTCAAGGGTCATAGAATTACATAACCAAGTCATTACCTGATAATTTTTAGCAAACCACGTGTTAAAGGTAGGATCATTAGGAAGAGGTTGAGGAGCCTGGCCATTAATATACTTTTCCTTCCTCCTTCCCTGTAGATACATCAATACACTCTGTGACCATTGAAGATAGTTGCTGCTATTGAGTTTATGGTTAATCACCATATTTTGAGTTTCAATGGCAGACGAAAGATCAGAAGTCATTTCAGATGCTTTTGAGGTAGTAGAAGATGAAGAGCTACTGCCTTGAGTTTGGGAGTTAGTGCCAAACATAAGGGCTGCTGGATGGGCCCTTATATCTTCGAGGTTCCTTTGAACAAACCTGAAAAAGGGGGTAAAATCGTTGATGTTCATTTCTGTCTTGTGTAGCGACAGCACATGGATGTCGTGCGTAGGGCAGTGGGGTGGTGTGTGGGCTTCATGCGCCACTCAGTTCGTCACTAGAGCTTGGGGAGGTGCCAATCGGCGGGGTCTGAGGTAGACTAGGGGGCTGGTGTGATCCAACCCTGCTATTTTGTGTGAATAATTCACTGTATATGTTATTTCATATGAAAGGGTTACAATTTATAGGGTCAGGGTGGCAGAAAACAATCCGGTTACAATCATTACAATCAATTAGAATTAATTAGAAAGGTTTACATTAAATAAGAGATATTGCACTGCAAAAATAAGGATTTATTCTCTAGCTAAAATCATGGGTAATTAATGGAGAGAATCAAGGGCTTTCTAACACTTCCCCTCAAGCTGGAGAGTAGATTTCCACTATTCCCAACTTGCTTCGAAGCCCTTCAAACTTGACTCTAGCTAAAGGCTTGGTCATAATGTCAGCAGTCTGATCAGTTAAGCACACAAAGCTCAAGTTAATGGTACCACCTTCGACCTTTTCTTTGATAAAGTGCTAATTAATATCGACATGCTTTGTTCGGTTATGATACACTGGATTCTTGGTCATTTCAATGCTGGCTTGGTTGTCACACCAGAGGTTCACTAGACCTTCATAGGGAATTCTCAATTCCTTCAGGAGTCTAATCACCCACATTCCTTTCAGCACTGCTCCTTGAGATTACTGTCTGTTTCTTGCTTCGCCAAGTGATTAGGTTTCCCCAAACATAAGTGCAATAACCTGTGATAGATCTCCTGTTGTCCATAGCTCTCCCATGATCTGCATCAGTGTAGACTTCTATTTTTCTTGTATTTTCCTTTTTAAAGAATATTTCTCTTCCCGGATTGAGTTTGAGGTAGGTCAGGATTCTGTATACTGCTTCCATATGTTCTTCCTAAGGTTGATGTATAAATTGGCTTACCACCCCAACTGCATAGCTAATGTCTGGTCGTGTATGGGTCAAGTAGATCAGTTTACCCACAAGTCTTCTGTACCTTTCTAAGTCAACTGGTATCCCTTTTGGTTTCACTTCCAGATTGCATGATTCTTCCATAGGAGTCTCATTTGGTTTAGCCCCAAGTATTCCTGTTTCGTGGAGTAAATCAAGTGTGTATTTTTGTTGGGATACACTTATACCCTTTTTGGATCTAGCAACTTCCATTCTGAGAAAGTATTTCATCTGCCCTAGGTCCTTCACTTGGAATTCCCTAGCTAGGGCTTTCTTGAGTTGAGAGATAGAAACTTCATCGTTGCTAGTTATGACTATATCATCCACATACACAATTAGGATCGTTATCTTTCCATTATTGTGTTTGGCGAAAAGAGTGTGATCAGCTTGTCCTTGGGTGTAACCAAATCTTTTGATGGCTTTGGCAAACCTGTCAAACCACGCTCGTGGAGACTGTTTCAGGCCATATAATGACTTTTTCAGTTTGCAAATTGAGTTGGGTGGAGCTATTACTCTATCTGGGATTTCCATGTATACTTCCTCCTCCAAATCTCCATTTAGGAAAGCATTCTTTACATCTAGTTGATGTAGAGACTAGTCAAGGTTAGCAGCTAGGGACAGGGGTACCTGGATGGTATTGAACTTTGCCACTGGTGCAAATGTTTCCTGATAATCAATCCCATAAGTTTGGGTGTACCTTTTTCCAACTAATCTCTCTTTGTACTTGTTGATGCTTCTGTCAGGATTGAATTTAGGGGTGAAGATCCACCTGTAACCTACTGCTTTCTTGCCTTTAGGAAGTGTGGCAATATCCCACATGTTATTCTCTCTCAAGGCTTTCAACTCCTCGTATGCTGCACGCCATGGCCTATTGAAATGTTTTTGGAATATTTACTTGTGAGCTATTCACCACGAAAGCTTGCATTCTAGCAGATAAATTGCCATAAGAGACAAATCTTTGAACAGGATGCTAAGTACACGATCTTACCCCATTTATAAGTGCAATAGGCCATCCGAGCTCTTTAGGATTCAACTCTAGATTGGAATCATGTTGCTGCCTTGGAAGGGAAGGAACCTTACTACTACTGTCTTGTTCACCTGATTGAGAACTTGAGTGCTTTGTCACCCCTGCATCGATGTCAGCATTGGTTTCCTTTGTGAGTGTTTATGGGGCTTTGGCGTTGCAGTTGAGGTGTAGGTCTAGGGGTTTTCGGTTCAGGTTCAGGGATTTCTTCTTGTGGTATAGGGGGTTCAAGAGGGTTAAGAGGTGAGTTGGTCTTAGGGTCAGATGTAATTAGCCATTCTATTCCATAGTTCTCCCTCTGAATGCGTAATTTGGGATAGTAAGCATCATCCTCATAAAAAATTGTCTTTGGAGATTGAGTTTTCTAGTAGAGGGACAATAACACTTATAACCCTTTTGGGTTGAGGAATACTCGAGGAAAATATATTTTTCTGCTCTAGCACCTAGTTTGCCCTCATTATGTCTATGGACAAAGACGACACATCCAAAGACTTTTTGAGGGATAATATTGATGATAGGTGAGGTGGGGTAGGTTTCAAGAAGTTTTTGGATGGGGGTACTGAAATTGAGGATTTTGGAGGCCATTTGATTGATAAGGTAGGTTGCGGTGAGCACAACATCTCCCCTAAAATAGGCTTGGAAAATTTCTTTCCATCATAATAGCTCGGGTTACTTCCAAAAGATGCCTATTCTTTCTCTTGGTAACTCCATTTTATTGAGGAGTATAGACACATGAGGTTTAGTGATGGATTCCTTGTTGCTCAAGAAATTCCCTAAAGGCTCCACTCATATTCTTTGGCATTGTCACTTCTTAGAACTTTGATGGGAGTTTGGAATTGGGTTCTCACAAAAGAGTGAAATTTTTTGAAAATTTGTAAGGCTTCGGACTTCTCTTTCATAAGGTAAACCCATGTAACTCGAGTGTGATCATCTATGAATGTAATAAACCACTTTGTGCCTGTTCGGGTGTTGGTTTTGGCTGGTTCCTAAATGTTGGTATGGATCATTGTAAACGGGGTAGTGGGTTTATAGGTGTGTTTGGGATAAGAAGCGCTAGTTTGTTTGGCAATTTGACACGTTTTACATTGGAAAGGAGAAGAATTTTTATTGAATAAAGTTGAAAACACATGCTTCATATAATCAAAGTTGGGGTGGCCTAATCTTTGATGTCACAACAATACATTTTTATTTTGAGAGTTGGAGCTAACCATGGCTTTCTTTGCTCCTTTAGTCTTCATATCATTTCCATCAAAGTAGTAGAGTCCATCCCATTCTTTAGCATCAAAATCTTCCTCCCTGAGGTTGAATCCTGAAAAACACAATTAACATCATCACAGATCACTCGACATACTTGTCCTTTAGTCACTTTGCTCACAGATATAAGGTTGCAAGTAAGAGCAGGAACAAATAAAACATTATGAATTTCCAGGTTCTCAGATAGGGCCACAATGCCAACACCCTCAACTTTAGTATATAGTCCAGTTGCTACTTTTACTCTAAGGTTCTCATGGCAATATTTGAGGGTTTTGAAGAGGGACTTATTACCAGTCATGTGATTTGTAGCACCGGAGTCAACAATCCATGTCTCATCAATAGTTACCATTGCATTAAGGGCTATAATGGAATTACCTGACTGAATCAAGTTCACATTGGGAACAAATTTCGATTTGTTTTGCTTTTCAAGTATCTTACGAAGCATTTGAAGTTCTTCTCTAGTCAACCAACCTCCATCATCACCTTTTTCTTCAGAGGAAGTGTGGTGGCTCTTTCCATCTTGCCGTTGTTTCTGTTTCCCTTGGGTTGGTTTTCTATGTAGCTTCCAGCATTTATCTCTAGTATGACCTCTCTTGTTACAGTGATTGCACTACTTGTTCCCTTTCTTCTCAAAGCCCTCTGATGTCTGGAAGCCCCTCGTGACCAATGCTGAGCCATCTACTGGAGTTTGGTTACCTTGGGTGAGGTGTCTTCGGCTTTCTTCGAACTTAACCATGCTGAAGACTTCAAATAGGGATGGAAGGGGCTTTAGACCCATAATTCTGCCTCTCACTTCTTCAAACACATCATTCAGGCCCAATAGAAAGTCATAGGTTCGTCCCCTTTCAACGAGTTGTTTGTAGTAATTAGCATCATCCATATCCTTCTAAGGATGTACTTCAAAGAGATCCAATTGCTGCCATATCTTTGTTAGAGTGTTGTAGTATTGTGTTACAGTCAAGTTTCCTTGCTTTAGATCTTTGAGCTGCCTCTTTAGATCTAATAAGGCTGCAGTGTTATCCAATGTAGAGTAAGTACGCTTAGCAACATCTCAGATTTCCTTGGTTGTGTTCGCAAGAAGGTACCCCTCATTGATTTTGAGAGTCATTGAGTTGCACAGCCAAGACATCACCTGATTATTTTCAGCGAACCAGGTGTCAAAGTTTGGATCATTATGTGAAGGTTGTTTTGCTTCTCCATTGATATACTTCTCTTTACGCTTCCCACGTAGATACCTTAATACACTTTGGGACCATTGGAGATAGTTGTTGCCATTAAGTTTGTGAGCCACCCCCATAGTTTGATGCTCAGTGGTTGTCAAGTCTAACACTGGATCAGAATTTTTAGGGGCTATTACAGATGAAGAAGTGTCTTGTGTGCCAGACATGAGGACTGTCGGACTACTGCCTTTGGAGACAGCAATATTTCGGACAAACCCAAAAAGAGGTGGAAATTCCGGTGGATTCATCTTTAGGGGACGACGGTGTCTCTGTTTGGCCCTGACGACGACGTGTGAATTTCACGTGCGGAGGCTGTGATGGCGTGTGAGCTTCATGCGTTGCTTTGTTGGACGTCAGCTTCCGTGGATTGGCCGATCGGTGGCTTCTGGTGAGGGCTGGAGTGGCGGTGTTGTTCACCTCCCTTCTGTTGATTCAGATCTAAGGTGGAGCCTCTCTCTCTCTCCCCCCCCTCTCTATTTTCGTTGATGTTTAGGATGGATTTCTGGGTTCAGATTGAACCTAGAGCTCTGATACCATGCTATTTTGTGTGAATAATTCACTGTATATCTTATTTCATATGAAAGGATTACAATTTATAGGGTTCGGGTGGTAGAAAACAATCCAGTTACAATCATTACAATCAATCAGAATTAATTAGAAAGGATTTGGTGCTGGCTCTCTCTTTTCCTCTCTGGACGTGATCTCTCCTTTCCCTCCCTCATTGTGTGAATTTCGTTGCATAGTTTTTTCGAATTTGGATCGAACCCAGAAGCTCTGATACCATGTTTGAGTTTCGGTGAATATTTCACACTCATGTGTCTTATTGATAAAGAATCTTCACAATATATAGGCAGCCGGTTATCCCATATAGAGGAGAATAATCCGGTGATTATAATTAACATTAATAAGCTAGAATCAAAGAAGATAACTGGGAAGATAAGAAAGAAAATGATTTGTTGACATTTGCCTATAATCAAGACGAATAAGTAGGAGAGAATCAAGGGTTTTATTTCTAACAAAATCAAATCAAAGAGTACAATCAGATAAAATCCTAATATTTACATAACTAAAATAATTCCTATGATCTCGGAGATTCCCACATTTCCACTTATTTAACATGAGAGATTCAAAAACATGTAAAAAGTCCTTCCAAAGAAATAAGATCCTTAAATATGGTATTTAGCAATTTTCTTAGCCAGCAGGTCAAAGTGGACATGCTCTAAAGGTAAAAGTTAAAATTTATAAAGCATTCTAATTTTAATATACCAAAGCCTGTTTTAGGCCTTACCAAGCTGCCTTTGTTGCTATGTCTTATATATTAAAGCAAATTTATATTTTTACACTCAATACTCTAACATCTAGTATCACATGATATTTGCAGGATTCACATTTTGGATTGCTATACAGATCCTCTTGGTTGGAAGGATAAAATACAGAAATCTAGAAATGTTAGGGATATTCCTTGCCAAAGTTCACTTATTTCCAGTTTTTATAAAGATATGAAGGATATGGAAAAATTGTTTTCTATAATCACTGAACTGGGTGGAGGTAAAACTTTGTTCTCTTAACTTCTGCCAAACTGTCCAAAAACTGATTTTCACCTGATTTGATCACTTTAGCTCCACCAATGTCATTTTGTTTTCAGAGTATGTTTCTAACCTGTGAATGTATAAACTTGCTTAACTGCAGGACTAGTTGAAGAGAAGAAAGCCTTCTTTTGCGTTGCCATAGACTCGGTACTTTTGCTTGCTATGATTGTTAAGCTATGATAAAATTGAGAATGTACATTCCATTATCATAACTCCAAATGAAGCTGAATATGGTCTAGCTTGTTGGTGTGTTGGGATGAGTATTCTTTGTGGCTTGGTATTTATTATTGTCAATATAATCATTTTCTTTTGTATGGTTAAACTTTTGAAGATATGTTATGTATTTGTTTCTGATTTGAACCTGAACCAATTACCTATTAAGGTGTCTGACCTTGATCTGAGATGAGACAGCCCATGTATACCAACTTAATTATTAAGTCTCATTCTCACCTCAAGAAAGCATTGCCCATGTAGGCCTAATGGTTATTTTACAGTTTCCGTTCAGCTACGATGTACATAAAAATGTGGTAGAGAGAAAGCTTTAAACCTGCCGTAATGTTTCAGTATGCGTTATGTATAGGAACACTAGCTCTTGGTTTGTTTAGATATGTATTCATCAAGGCTTGTAACAGAGCCCTCTTCTGTTTCTGAAGATGGCTTTCCTTGCACTTCATATATGTAGAGGTAGAGCCCATGCTAACTAGGTTTGGTCTTGTTTTTAGATGTAGGTACATTAGGTAACTTGAAATGGGATTTTAGGGAGCAAAGGTTGCATGTAATACACATATTTTCTTGTCAAGTTTGTAGGAATTTAGTGAAAAGATGATCAGGTAAATGTTTTGTATTTATCATGTCACAAGTGAAGTTGATATAATTTTGCACTATGATTATGCTAAGTAGACTTGCATGGTACTATCCTAGTTGGGAGTTGAATTTGATCTTAAATAGAAGACCTCAGTTCGTTTTTTTCCCTATAGTCATTTTTTTTCCTCCAACTATCCTTGTTAATTGTACATGTTAAAGAGAGTTTTCATCAAGGGGTAATTTCAATGCAAATGATTAAAAACGTATTTTAGGAAAACCAACACATTTTTGACAAATGATTAATTTAAATAGTTTTATTAATCTACCCAAATTAGTTAAGTAGGTAATATCTAGTTTTACTTTTGCTTCTAGAGTTCAGTTTGGAAACAAATGAAGAGTAGGGCAGGGAGCAGTTTGTCCAAATTTCATTTTGCATGAAAATTGTAAATGATCATGCCTTGTTTATAAATCAATTTATGCCCCTAGTTTCTTCTCTGCAAATTCTGTATGTGTCTCTTGAATCCTGATGGATTTCCTTTGCATGTTTCCAGCTAAGTGAACTGTTGAGACTCACAACTTCACAATCCGTCTCGGGTTTCTTAAGCAATCTGCGGAGCCATGGTATTCATTCTTGCACTGAATTCAAATTCTTTAATTTCCTCATATAATTTTATCTGGTTTGCCGTGATTTAGTTTGGCAAATTCCTTTTTGGTAGTACCAAAGCAAGAAAATGTGAGGTGGTTTTTGTTCATTTGCATTTATGAATTATGTTTAAAGTCAACTTGATGTTTGAACAACTTTGTATCTTATGGTCATTGTTTTTATGATGGCTGCAGATCAAATTTCGTGTATATTTGGGTTATTGCATTCTGATCTCCATGACGATAGGGTTGCAGCTGTTCTTGATTACATGTCCTCCATGGTGGCCAATGTCGAACCATTTCATCATTCCTTGTCTGAACAAAGTTTTAGCAGGGGGAAGTTCAATGTCAGGTTCAAGCGCAGAAATGGGCGAGTTAGAGTGACGGTGATATCTTTCTTCCTCTGTAAGCCTTGTTGGGAATTACCAATCTTCATTGGTTGACTGATAAAGTATCTATGATGTTGTATTCAGAGTGAAGAATTTAAAGTTGACCCTGGAGGAATTAGCTTTACATCTATTCCCTCAGCGGATGGACTATCCATCTCAGGCCTACTGCCGAAGGTTAGTTCTATAGTTTCCTATATGGAGTGGGTTTTATCTCTGTATTAAAGAAAAGCTGAATAACATTCTTGTAATGGAAGAAAATGCCTCATCTGTTTTCTGCAAAAGATGAATAAAGCGAAGACCCTTTCAAAAAAATATAAAAGGCCTTGGTCAAAGTTGCACTACACACCCATTGGCAAGATTCTCAGGTCTGTCAGTGTTGATCTAAATGGTAGGAGCATAAATGAATCAAGTAGTTGTCTCTTACAACACCGTCGTGTGCCTGTTTAACTCATGATACCTGTGTTGGATGGTATTAATTAGTTCTACACAAGATTGAGAGAATAAAGAAAGTTATATCTAATCCATACTTGTTAAAATTATGTTCATATGCTGCCTTGGTATATTTCCCTGCACTACACAAACGAATATTCTTATAATGGCAGATATAAATTCAGCACAAAGTTACTTTCTTGAGCAGGTGCAATTCAATCTTGATCTGTCTGAGAAGGAGCGAACTGATAGGGCTAACGTTGTGCTCCCTTTTGAACACCAAGGTATGTAATTTAGATCTGCGCTAGAATTTTCCTTCCAAAAAATAAATTGCTTTTCAGTTTACTTGCATTTTTCAAATGATAAATATGTCTTACAACTTTATCATTATCTCCTTAGGAAATGGTAAACCCATACAAATATATGATGGTAGAAGATCGCTTGAAGATTACAACATTGAGGCAAAGCACACTTCTGGTAGTAAAAAAGTGGGTTCTGGCACGGGTGAGATTATTTATTATCGTGATTCAGATGATGAGATGCCGGATTCTGACGAAGACCCAGATGACGATTTAGATATATGAATATCCTTTATATTATCAGAAAAATGTGGACTTTTATTGTAATTTTACTAGGTTTCCTTCAGTATTTTACTCCCATTTCTCTGTTTAATGTAATAGAGATGTTTTCGTGTATTTTTTCGCCCCAACTTTTACCATCAACAGGGTCATAGAATAGGTTATTTCACTTGTACATAAGCAGAGTTCAAAAAAAAAATCGACAGATGAAGCCAACGTTATTCGAAATTGTTCTCAATATATTATGGATTGACATGGAATCATATTTTGGTATGGTTTTGTGATGTTATTGGAACTTGTGCTTCTTTATTATGAGTGTCAGGGCAGGCCTTTCAAAAAAGTTAATATGAATTTTGGTCCTTTAAGTTTATCCTTATTTGAAATGGCTCAAATTTTTCATACATTATAAAGACCAATATTTGAAATGAAGAGAAACTTAAAAGACTAAAACTTATGATTTTAAACTTGAGGGGTGAAAACCAAAGGGAAAATGATAGTGAGGTCCAATGCAACACAAAACACTACAAAAAAGTCTTAGAAAATTTGGTAATGATTCTGAAATCCTAAAAAGACTTGCGTGTAATTTGGTGAACTGTGAAAAGATGCTTTTGCCCTTGGTGAAATGCATCTACAATGACTAAAAGTTGCCCTATTTTTGAGTTTGAAAATTAGCACTCAATACACAAGAAGTAAGAGAAGTCTCTTCCCCTATTCTCATCTGAAAATCTCATCCACTCCACTCATGTCAATCATTGGCAAAAATCGCGTGTTTTTGGTTTGATGTTTGTTTGGTCATTTAAGTTGGAGTTTTATTATAGGTGGGTAGGGTGATTATGGTTGTTTTGTTTTTGGGTATATTGTGGGTGGGTTGAAGTTGAGTTTGCTTTGTTTGGGTATGGTTCAAGAGGAATTGATAAAAAAGATAAAGGTTAGTGTGGCTAGAAACTCTTATTGTGAAGTAGGAAAATATGTTGTTAATATAGGTTGCAGAAGTTATCAATATGGCTCTTTGACTTGTCAACAGTGACAATGTTGTATAGATTTACATTAACTGATTTTTTAAATTTTTTACACAAAGGCCATTACTTTTTGTACCCTTGACTCATTGGTAGAAGTTACAAAAAGATGAAGAAGAGGCAATGAAGAAGGATGAGTAATCACATGAGGCAAAAGAAAAAAAATGGCAAAAAGAAAGGTCACTTTGAACCTAGACAAATGATGGCAAAAGATTTCTTTTGCAAATAGAAGTGACATGAATTTTTTTTTTGTAAATGTCACAAAACACACAAATAGTTATTTTGATACTGAATACATACAATTATATGTTTTTTTCAGTGAATTATGAAATTGGTGTAATTATATATATATGAAGTTGTAAATGAAAGTTAGCTGTGTATTACATTTTGATGCATAATTAGTTGTCATTATCCACACTTTTTATTGTCAATATATTCTGTCACTTGTCACTCGCTATACCATCAGTTGTTAATCATATAAAATTGAAAAAAATATGATTTTGTTACATAATGCTATACAATGTCATACAATATCACTAATTCCTCAAAATTAATCCATTTTTTATAACGTGATTGATCGAACCCAATTCTTCTATGTTATTTCATGTTATTTTTAGGGCTTTTATTATAGCTTTTGGCTCTTTTTGGTGATAATTGTGCTTAATTTAGATTAAGATTTCTTGTCTTGAGTTAATATCTTTTTGAGGATAAAATTGTCATAATTGGTTATTAATTGTATTCAATTGATTTCTAGGACAATTAATGTTTCAAATTATTGTTTTTTATTGTAGGACACTTGAGAATTAAAGCCAAGATTGAAGACCAAGGGATTACACAGCATGAGAACTACGAGTATTGATTCAAGACGAGTAGGGCGCGACATTGGTTGTGGATTCGCTGCGACGAACAATCTACATCAAGGTTAAAGACCCTCCGGACTTGTAAGCCGCGATGTTGGCTGTGGGTTCGCCGCAGTGAAATGCCTTGTATCAGCAACGTCAAATTCAAATCAGAATGCGAAAATGTCCATCTACTCAAATGATTTGACCCAGTTGACACCTTAAACCCTTAGAAACCCTATTTTTGTCCCATAACTCCTTTCTCTCATTCTAACACCTCTATTCTCTCACCTTCTTGCCTCTCTATCTCCATCTCCTTTCTCATCCATTTTCTTTACTTTTTCTTCATCCCACCTTATTTTCTTCATCTCCTAGCTGTTATGGCTGAAGAATTCACTCTGCTTGGGGTGGTTTCCAAGGCTATGGTGGGCTAGGGTTTTCTAACTCTTAAAGATGATGGAGTGGCATGAGTTTCCAAACTTTAAAAGAGAGTTCAGTTTCAATCTTCAGTTTTTAGTTATGAATTTATGGTTTCCTATGTTTAGGAATTGTAATTCTTAGTTAGACACTTGGATTGCTGCTGTAATCATTGTTTAATGATTTATAATTGTAGTTTGGATTAGTTAATGTAGAATTTTGTGCTTTAATATATGTGGTTGCATATATGTCTCATGTAATCCTCTTGATTCTCTCTTATTTTTCATGGTCATGTTTTGATATTGAGTTGATTTTGGATTACATTGAGCTAATTGCATTGATCATTCCTAAATTGCACATTAGGAGAGCTTAACAGTGTTTTTATTAATGAAGTTCATTGATTTAAACATTGGACTCAATGAGTAAATGAGGTTGTTATTCAAGAAAACCTAATGATTTTATGAAACTCCTAATATCTTAAGCAAGCTATGATTGCCATTAAAACCATTTTCAAGAGGTTTCCTATCATCTATTTCTATTCCATCATCATTTTATCTAAAAATAACAAAAACATAGTAGCTTAGGTTTATTTTCATTGCATAACTTTAGTCAATTCAATTCAAATCTTCAAAAACCCAAACACCCTTTCATTGCATTGCATGGCATTTAGTCTAGCTTAGGTCATCAATAAAAGCTCTCAAAAGTGAATACGACCCAGATTACATTGCTATACTCCATCTCTTGGATCCAGTTATAAATTATTGCATTTTACCCCAAGGCATAACGACACAGTCAAATCAATTGACGCTGTTGTCGGGAAACCAAGAAATTGGTTTTGCTAGGCTAGTTAATTGTCAACTTTGGTTGATTGGGGTTTTATGAGCCTCTTAGGTTACATTTTTACATTGTGCGTAATAGGTTTTATATTGCATAAAAATTTTGAGATATACAAATAAAGATCTTGATCTTGATTTTCTTTTTGCATATAGTTTCATGCACTTCTTAGCATTCTTTGCATTCTTGAGTTTGTTTAAAATTTTAGAGGCTTTGCATAGTGTTTGTGCCTCTTAATTTCATTCTGCCACTGTTTCTACTGTTGCCTTGTTTTGAGGGTTGCTTCTGCCAATAATTTTGTCACAACCAATAACTGTCTAACCGTGATGAATACCCCTTCCTCTTCTGAATTTGCTTCGATGAACATTTTCATCACGACCAACTCAAGTCTTGCTGCAACGAAAATCTTTTTTGAGCCAGAATTTTTCTAAGTCTTAAGAATTCATTGGGACTTGATTGTTTTGCTTCCTTATGGCTTGGTTTAATGATGATTTAGACCCATCTTATCACCCTTCCTTTTTTGTAGGCGATAACACTAAGACGGGTAATGATTTGTCTCAAGGGCTTCATCTTATACAACAAGTATTCAATCTTCTTCTAGCATGCATAGATCATGGACAAGAAGGTGGGAACTATCAAGGACATGATACCCCCTATCCTAACCATAACCATGACTATGATTGGATGAGTGATCCTTCACATTCCCCTTACCATACTCCTTTATTCCATTCACATCTGAACCAACATCCACCACTAGGACCACATTATGACTTCTCACCTCTACTATACAATCCACATTTTGAATACTTTCCATCACATCATCCATATCATAAACCAAACAATCCATTACATGAACCCTACCACCAATACCCTTCCCCATCTCACCAACTATTCCATGAACCATCACCATGATTCCATCCATGCCCTCTTTCATATCATGAGCTTTCTCTTCCACCCCACCTTAAGCCTCGGCCTCAATCCTATGGTCTCGACAACTTTCTCACACTACTAAACATGGATGACCAAACAAGAAAATTAAGAGGGATGTATGACATTATAAAGATTCACTTCTTAGAGTTGTCTAGAAGCAAAGAGTTGTTTGGGATATCCAAAGAAGAAGAGGAAAGATTAGAGGACATTGAGGATTGGATTAAAGCCTTTACTAATCATGTGCACTGGAAGAAGACAGAAGGAGAAGAAGGAGCTCCATGGCCCTATGACTTAGAGGATTCAGAGGAAGAAGAGGAACAAGAACTTAATGACCAAGAGTCAAATGCCACACCAAGGATGGAAAGTTCCCGCCCTCTCATGCCTATACCTAGTGGACCTACTCGAGCACAAGAAGTACAGAAACTACAAAGAATGAAGTAGAGTCTCCACTATTATTTGGTAATGACCCTGTTCTTACTCTTCTATTATTTTGCCTGATAAAACTCTTGAATTGAGTGATAGTGAGGAGGATGAAGAGATTGTTTATGAATCCTCTCAATACATAACTTCTGGTTATAATGACTCTACTTCTTTGTGTGATGAATTGAATGATAAACATCCTTCTCTTCCTAGTACTATAGATGATTATGCACTACTAATGATTTATTCTCTTGTACTAGAAGTGCTGTTATTGATAAGCATGAGCAATTTGAAATTGTTGAGTCTTGTTTGAGTACCACTGTGAGAGAGTTGATGGAAAATAACCATTGCCTTAAGAGTCAAATTCATGATAATTCCAATGAGTTTGTAGTTTCTAATACTGTTGAGAAAGACTCTAAAGTTTCAATTGCCAAAATCATGAACATCAATAAGTCTTTCCAACAAGCTTTGTCTTATGATTTGTTTCCTGATTTATCTTGCATTGTAAATGGCAATGTGCATGAATCTTTTCATTCTTTCTTTTCTCTCCCTTTGAACATTACCTCTTCTGAATGTGATAGTGATGTGTTGTACTCCAACAACTATCAGTTGGATTCTTCAGCTTCCACTTCATATGAACTCAAGTATTATAAAAATTTAAATAACAATTTGGCTCCTACTAATGGGAGTACTATTGATTTCCTTGGTTGTGATAGTTACTTGGAGAGATTAACTTCTAAGTTGTCTTTATTTCATTTTTATTCTCTTCATGTTCCTATTTTTGGATATGGTACTGCTGTGGGTTCTACTTG